GGCCAGCAGCAGCTTGCAAACCTCAAGAGCCGTCCTGTGCATGCCCTGCCCACGGAGGCAGTGCATGTGAAGCCAGAGTGCCTCGGCTTAAGGGATTTAGGCTTTGGGGTTTAGGGTTTGGGGTTCAGGGTTTAGGCTTTGGGGGGTTTATGGGGTTTCTGGGATTTAGAGTTTTGGGTAGGTTTGGGATTTAGGATAACCCCTACCCCGCAGAACCATGCAACCCTAGAACCCTAGCCCCTGGACCCGTCAAAACTCTCTTCTCAGCGCTTTGAAGCACTTCATGCGCTAGCCCCTAAACCGCTTAAAACCCTGGCCCAAGACACCCTCCCATTTATCAGCCATAAAATACTTTAATAGTTTCCATTTTCTTTGCCCCCCAAAGTAAAATACCCCCATATAACCCCATCAGGCTGCGCGTAGCCAGCTCCACCCAGGCCAGTCTAGGCCTGCTTCGATTTCCAGGCGCACACGCGGTCGCAAGGCACCAGGACCAAGGCCAGTATTCTGGAAGAGGGGGGTAGGCTGATATGGTAGTTTTCCAGAAATAGGGGGGCCCCAGTAGAGACCCCAATGTACTGTAGGGTCATACAGGCAGGAAGGGTGCAAAACACGCTGAAGAGAGACATTCTGGGACTACGCTGGGCCTGCGTTCGTGGCAGTATTGCAATAGCGAAGCTATTCCTTGAAATTTCGGTTCTGGGGAACGACAACGAGGATGTTCATCGGTGGCCATAGCTTGATTCACTGAACCCTGTAACCTTAAACCCCGAATCCCTAAACCCTAAAACGCCAATACCCTGAAACCCTAAAATCCTAAAACCCTAAATCCTGAACCCCTAAACACTAAATCCCTAAACTTCCTGGCCTGGAAGGGGGAAAAGTCCGGGGACAGCGCGCACTCCAAAGTGTACACGGCTCGTCGCACCAGTTCCCTCGCTTGCTCATGAGACCCTTGCCTGGGTTGCTGTTGAGGAACTCAAATTAAGTTACTATATTGGGGAAACCTTACTGTGTACTATATATACCCGCTTTATAGTGAATTAAATTAAGTTACTATGTTGGGAAACCCAGTTGCCGCCAGTGGTGTTCTGCCATAACCAGCAGGCCATCCAGGGAGAAGGGGCTGCGCTGCTGTAGGTACTGCTGCAGCAACTGAGGATCCTCCTGGCTCAGTACCTGGCTTCTGAAACACGGTGTAGGGTTTGGGGTTTAGGGTTTAAGGGGCCCTTGAGAGGGACCCTTAAAGATATCTGGGTATCCTTAAAGGGATCATGGCTGGCATCCCTATTCGAGAGTATATGGTATTCTGCCAACATCGGGGGGCCCCAACATACTATAGTCCTTATTCTTGGGACCCCAAAATGGTCCGCAGTTCGGGGGAACCCCATACAATCCCTAAGCCCTAAACCATACCCCCGGGGATCATTATCAGAAGCACCTGTCTCAAAGTAGCTAACTCGCGAGTCGACCCAGGGGTTTCCTCAAAGCCGAAGACGGCAGCACCATCCTCCAATCTTGTGGAAATACTAGTGATAGTATATAGTAATAGTAGACAGTAATGATGGTTATAGCAATAGTAACAGTACATGCAAATACTGAATAGTATAGTAGTAGCATTGCACAGGATCATTCTTAATCTGCGTTGGGGTCAGGTATAGATAAAGTTGAAAAGGTTTTTCAACAAGAGCCCAGCATCCTTGTCTACTTTCGCAAGCATGGAGGTGGAATTCTCAGGTTTGGTCCAAGGCTCATCGGCAGTCAGGGACACCAGGAACAAACCTGGGACATTGCTGAAGTATGAGTAAGTTTAGGGTTTAGGGTTTAGGGTTTGGGGTTTAGGGGTAACATGATCTCTGTTAATCTATCTTGGGTTCAAGTTGGTACAAGCATGTGACAAGAGTGCTTTTCAAAATGGTTGGGTCCCCAGATGCCCCTATTCATGTGGATAAGCCCCCGCTAAACCCTAAACCCTAATCCGTAAATCCTAAACCCTAATCCTGAAACCCTAAACCTTACTCCCTAATCCTTAAACCCTAATCCCTAACTTTTTCTTCGACAACATCACAGAGGCGGCGGTGATGCAGCGTACGGCCTTCAGCCTGACCCCTTGCCCTGGCTGGGGCCCTTCGCTGGCTGCGGCCCATGCCCCGAGCATTCCCGAAGACTCTCTGCCTTGCCGGTAGGGTTTAGGGTTTAAGGG